TACGTAGTACGTAGTAGTAGTAGTAGTAGTAAGTAGTAGTAGTAGTAGTAGTAGTAGTAGTAGTAGTAGTAGTACGTAGTAGTAGTAGTAGTACGTACGTAGTAGTAGTAGTAGTAGTAGTAGTAGTAGTAGTAGTAGTAGTAGTAGTAGAGAGAGAGAGAGAGAGAGAGAGAGAGAGAGAGAGAGTTCCTAGTTTTGGGAAGTGAAGGAGAGCTTGGAGCTGTTTGGGTTGGGAAGAAACAAAATGTCCCCAGCCATGTTCCACCAACAGGCAGCGAGAATATGTCCTAGTCAACAAAAGTAGGTGGGAGAGAAAGCGACTGCAATTGGGGCCCTTAGACAAGGGTTGCTTGGGAACTAAAATGTCAATAAAAAGTGGCAACAATGAAGGATAAAGCAAACCAGTGGTAGTTTTGGAAAGTGTGAAGGATGGTGGCATTGTTTGAGATTCTTACAAAACTAAGGTGGCAAAAATTAGGTTTCCCTTTACTTAATGTACTCTTTGAAGGTCCTTGATGTAATTCTCCTACAAAGGAAGTTCTATCATGAATAGCTCGCAAACTTTGAGGCTAATTTCTGGGACTTCTTTCGGTGCTTACTTTTGTTTCCTTAGTTGTCTTTTAGTTTCTTGATAGAAGTTACTTGCTGATCATTTTCTTCTCTTTTGAATGGAATTATTACTCATAAGAAAAATGTGTTTTGGTTGCATTGTGGAGTAATTTTTATCCGCACGTCATTGTATTACCTGAGACAATGGAATATGTTTCTCACAACCGATCCAGCTGTGAGTGGGATGCATTAGAACTTTTGTCTTCATAATAGTTCACAAATCTTCTTTTTGATAAATGATATAGTTCATATATATGAGTTGTCCAATTATCATAAAGCTGTGACTAATTATGATGGATGATCATTTCCAAAATGAAAAAGAAAGGAATTGTTTTAGTGACTGTGTAATACGATTAGATGACGCATTTCCTTGTGAAATTTTTTGACACATTTCCTTGTGAAATTTTTTTGCAAATATTCTGCATGACTGGTGACCATGATCAGTGATTGGTTCTGGTTGCGGTGAAAGTTAGCAAGTTTTTCTATTAGTATTCCTCATTTTTCATATACAGTCCCTGACTTCAGTCCTAAGGTGGTGGCCTTCCAACTTTTTTGTTTTGGGCAGTGTAATTTGTTTTTCTATATTTTTATAGCTCTCTTTTACTCTTTCCTCATTTTTCTTCCTTCTCAGAATCCTTTCAGTTTTTTATTCTTTTCCCGCATCTCTGGTGGTTGCAAAACAAAATCTTTTGCATGGGTTTTGTGTTCTTGCGAATGTGAGTATTGATTTTAGTTAACATTCTTAAAAAAAAAAATGTGAGTATTATTTTTACCTATTCTCTTTCTGGTGTCTGCACAGAAAACTCTAGCTATGGTGCAAAGGACATTTTTCCCCAAAAATTCAGTGGCTAGTTGTCCTTCTTGCTTCATATGATGGATGAGATCCCGTAGTTTTGGATTAACAGATTCTTTTAGAGGTGGCTTATTAGAACATGGCAAATTTTGCTGTCTTAAAACAAGGCGCCAGGCAATCAAAGTTCTTGTCAAATCAAATCCTCAGAACTTTGAATTGTGGCTGAGATGCAAGGACATATTTCCTGCCTGGGATGTCATCCTTGCCAGAGGTCTAATAGTACAAATGTTATGACTTAAGCTGAAAGGATGTTGACGATGATGATGCCAATGGTGGTCATAGCGGTGATGATAGTACTGTTGATAACAATGTAAACTCCCAAAAATCCCACTTTTCCCTGTGTCTTGTAAGTAAATTCTCTTTTCTTTCTTTTTTTCCTTAATTAGAGGCAAAGCTTTGAGATGCCTGGAGACTCGGGTGTCTTTGAGCATTTTTTGACAAACGGAATTTATCATGATTGGTTGTTTAGATTTAGAAAATATTTGCACAAGTGTTCATAATATCTTTTTTTTTATTATTTATAAAGTTAACCTTAAATTGAAGAAGGGGTATATTCATAATATCTTGAAATGACAAAAGATGAACATGTTTCTCTTCTCATTGATAATTTGTCCCAATTGCAGTTTGGATTTATTGGATTTTATTTTATCCCCCTTTTTTAGTGGCTCCCGATCCCCAAAATTCTCTGAAATGTGAATATTAACTTGAAATATCATGTCAAGTTTCAAGAGTTATCGATCTACTTTTTTGCTCCATTAGTGTTCAAGTTTATGATAATATTTTACCGGATATTGCAAATGTTTCCATTTGCGGCGAAGTTCGAAGGCTTAGTGTCTGGGCCAAATCCCAGGTGTTCTCTGTCAACTACTAAGACAAATACCCTTGGTAGATTTATGAATTCTCTTTTGTTTTAACGTTTTTTTTTACTTTTTGTGTTTGTGTGTGTTACTAACTTATGAGCAGTTTTATTGCAAAAGATTAATCAACATACGGTAATCGTTCAAGTATTTCAGGCTTCTCTTTTCATACTTTCGAGGTGTACTGGCTTTAGTGCTTTGCAAACTGCCAGATTGTTTTTGCATAATGTACATTACATTGTCTAATAATGATTAATTATACTGCAGTAGGCTCTAGGAGCTGGTGATTGGTGATCCTTAATTCTCTGAAAATTTCCCAAAAAGTCAAGTCCTTAATTTAACGAAGTGGTCTTGTTTCTTCTTTACTAGATGTTTGCTATAACATTGATGAATACATTTGAAAAACATCTTTCATTTTCATTTTTTTAAGTAAGCGCACGTATGTCATTAAGGTAATGAAAAGTTGCAAAGAACAAGGAAAATAAAGAGAAAAGAAATAATCGAAAAGAGCACAACCACAAGAGAAGAAAAAAGAGAAGAGGCACAACTACAAAAGGTGATCTATGGTATGGTTTCCTCAATACTTTTGCAAAGAAGACAAACATTGGACTGGATCATCCCCATATTGCGAAGCCGGTCTAACAGTGCGAAGAAGTTTAAATCCAAGCACCCACAGGAAGGATTTAATCCTATCCTAGCCATCACAGGAAGGATTTAATCCTATTGGGTGCATTACATCTCTAGAACTTAGTAAGATATTTCCGATCTTCAATGAAACGATCCCTGTATAGAACCTCGTAAAGAGAGCTAATTGAAAAGTAGCATATTGAGGCTATAGAGGAAGCATAAGCTATAGAGGCTTGATAACAAAGTAGCATATTAAGGCTTGATAGCAAAGTAGCATATTGATTTGCCACCCATTCATCCACCCTCCTCGTAGTGACCAGTACCCTCCAGTAGGGCAAACTTCCTTCCAAAGAAATGAAATTGGAGACCACCTCCTGCTTGTAGATCGATCTCTAGTACACGTATGGGTAAACAAGTTTAAGTGGATAATCTCCAAGCCATTTAGAATGCCAACATCTAGTGGCTTTTCTGTCTCCAAGTAGCATCCTAGTATAAGCCACATTTGGAAATCATCTTCTGACAATATCCATGAATTGTTGAAGAATTGTGCATTTCCCCATAGCCTTGGATCAGATAAAAAAAACATCTTTTCCTGTTCCTCCCTGCCTCCTAAAGGTGGGCAATAAATAAGAATATGGATAGGATCCCTCTATTCTTATTCATAGTTTTACTCATATTATCCCTCTATTCCTATATCTTTCGAAATGAATTTCTTGAGAAAAATATTTTCTATAAAAATACATTTATGCTGTTTGGAAGGTACATGGACAGATAATATATTAGTTATTTTTTTTAACTCTTTTCTTCAAATACTTTTGATTATATTATTCCTTATAATGTCATTTTCTTCATTAAATTTGAGATAATTCTCCTTTCTAAATTTTTGAGATAGTTCATTTCTCTAAAATATTTTAGATAATTTCTCTCTCAAAAATTTTTCAGTAATTTTTGTCTCTAAAATTTTAAAATATTTTCTCTCCCTAAAACTTAAAATTTGAGATGGTTTTTCTCACAGTTCAAATACTTTCTTTCTCTAAAATTTGATATAATTTCTCTTTAAAATTTAAGATACTTTTTTATGTAAATGACAATCAAGATTTTTTTTTAAATTTTTTTAGTTGCTTAGAAGTATTATTTTTTATTAAATTTAGATAAGATGGTCCACTTGTCGAAAGAAAGGAATGATAGGTAGTTTTTTTTTTTCCCTGGAAGACCACGTTTTGTGGTGGAAGGGTCCATCTTTAAGTAGCAGGTTTTTTTGAAGACCATGGTTTGTGTTGAAGGCTCAAGTATAGGAAGTTTTGGGGTCAGGTAGGGGTATCTTGGGAAACATCATCGTTAAGATGGGAGGTAATAGATGAGTGCCTTACCTTTTTTTGGTAGTTAGCTTTTTCCAAAGATAGCGAAGGATTGAGATGAGGTACGTGCAAGCTAAAGAGGGAGAGACTATTTTTATTTTTATTTTTATTTTTATGAGTTTTTTTAGTTAGTTATTTCTTTATTTTTTCATAGTTTATTTAAAAGGAAATATTTGTATTAAATGCAGTGAATGAGAATTAAATAAAATTTGGCCTTGTGAAAAAAGAATTTTTGGAGTGAATGTATATTTTTTCAAACTTTTTTTTTTTAATTATTATTCTAATTTTATTTTCTTCATGCATAACTTTCTCTCTCTACAAATTTTTAGGTTTTCTTTAAAATTTGATATAATTTCTCTCTCTAAACTTATAAGATTATTTATCTCAAAAATATTAAGATACTCTCTCTAAAAATTTAGAGATTGTTTCTCTGTAAAAATTTTAATTATTTTCTCTCTATAAAATTTAAAATTTTGAGATTATTTTCTCTCTATAAAATGAAAAGTTTTGAGTTATTTTTTTTTAAAAAATTTTTAGGTACTTTCTCTATCTAAAATTTGATATAGTTTATTTCTGTAAAACTTTAACATACTTTCTTTTTTTAAAAATTAAAATTTTGAGCTAGTTTCCTTCTCTAAAATTTTTGATATACTTTTCCCTCTAAAACTTGAAATTTGAGATATGTTCTCTCTCTACAAATTTTGAGATAGTTTCTCTCTCTAAACTTAAAATTTGAGATAGTTTCGCTCTCTAAGGATTAAAACGTGAGATAGTTTCTCTCTCTAAAAATTTTGAGATAAATTCTCTCTAAAACCTTTTTGTGGTAGTTCTCTAAAATTTTAAAATATTTTCTCTCTTAACGTTAAAATTTGAAATAGTTTATCTATAAAATTTTTGAGATAGTTTTTGTCTAAAATTTTTTATATAGTTTCTCCTTCAAAAATTGGATTTAGTTTCTCTATAAAAACAAAAATTTAAGATACTTTCTCTCTCTAAAATTGAAAATTTGAGACAATTTCTCTCTCTAATTCGTGGGGTGTTTTGACTGAATTAATTATACTTCATAAAGTGGGCATCTCTGTAATGAGAAATCTAGCTTGAAATAAGGAAAATAATTTCAGGTGGAGATACTTTTATGTCCCGAAATTTCAATTCAACCAATAGAAATATGCCACCTTCGTAGAAAACTATTTCTAGAAGGACCCGGTTTCTTTGCGGTCAAGCCCGCATATGTTTCTACATATGCGGGTTTCTTAATAGATCTATTTTTAAGATTTTAAGATGAATTTTTGGACTTAATTTTTAAGGACACGTAATCTCTTACATGGGGATCATAAATATGAATAAATAAATAAATTTAAAAAACTAGAAATAGTAATTCTTGTAAAAACACATTTGGACCGTTAGTAAAAAAACATTTGGACCCTTACTTGCATCCATTTTAAAGATAGAAGCTTTACACTTTTTGGACTACATATGTAGTCATGTGGTCCAGCTTGCATGAAAGAATTCTCATTTTTAGAAATATATTTCCAGATATCCAAACGCCTTATTGAGTTAAGTAGTTTTCATATTTAAAATATAAAAACCGGGCACCCATATTTTCGTTCAATCTAATTTCTAATTTTTATATTAATAGGTTTCCATCCCGTATCCTGCTTCTTAACATAAGGAGAAATGTTTCTACGTGACTCCAGCAAGGTATAGACCGCATTTTTTAGCCGTTGGATTTGAATCGGTTACCACAATGTCATGCTAAATAATGTTTTATTTTTTATTTTTTTCTACTGAACATTTTTAGATGAAATTTTGGGTGTCTCATCATACAATTAGGGCGAACATGGAAAAAAATAAAAAATAAATTCTGGTAAATTTTTATCATAAAAAATATTCTATTATTATATTTATCATATGCGCCCCTGTCAGATCTATGCATGTCCCAAATTTTACTTCAAAACTATTTATAGAATAAAAATAACAAATAAAAAACTATGAGCCGTCAAATCAAGATCTGATGGTTAAACGCTAGCTTGGGACAATGTGACTCAATCCATCTCAACCATCAACTCAGATCTAACAGCTAAGACCAGGGTCACATATACCATTTATATGGGTGGGTCACATAGCAAGTCCTCCCGAACTTAAGGCTCATGTCGATGGGATTAATAGCAAGTTGGGGAATATCAGTATACTGGCACACCATAAGATAGAAATTAAATAGGTTTTCGTTAAAAATGTCGGATGCCAAAATTTTAGGGTAAAAATACGGATCAGCAACAATACTTAAGCCAAAATGGTCGCAAGTATATCAGATTAGGCTTAAAAAATCAGAGTGAAAAAAAGAAGGATAAGTTTAAATTTTTTAAAATGTTAATATTTTAAAATTCTAAAAAATCGAAGTTTGCTAAAGTTATCAATAAGTAATCCATCCATAAAAATTAATACAATTAAATAAATCAATTTAAATGTCTTATGACTCTCATCCCATCATCCAAAACTAAATAAAAAATAAGGCAAAAACGGAAAATAGTTAGGGCATAATGTAGTCACTTGAATGATCCAAAATTATATATACTGCATGATAGAATCACTAGAATTAATAGAAAAGTATTATATCATTCCTTTGTTCTCTTGACAAGTGATACTTGAATCTTGTTATCCCCGCAAAAAATCCTTCACCACAAAATTCACAATACAATTTACTTCCTCTTTTATTCTAATAATCCTTA